TGCTGGGAGTGAAGGGCAGAAAGAAAAAGAGGCCCAGGGCCCAGGAAGGCCTTGGGTGCTGTGCTGGGAAATTTAGATTTGCTCCTGTGGCTGGGGGGAGGGCTTTTATAGGCTGTGGGAGCAGGAGTGGGTGGGACATCAAGTTGTAGTTCTTTTTTTTTCTTTTTTTAATTTATTTTTAGAGAGAGGGGAAGAGAGGGAGAAAGAGGGAGAGAAACATTGATGTGTGAGAGCTACATTGCACACCCCCAACTGGGAACCTGGCCCACAACCCAGGCACGTGCCCTGACGCGTAATCCGACCAGAGACCCTTTGGGTTTGCAGGCCTGTGCTCAATCCACTGAACCACACCAGACAGGGCTCAGGTTTCAGTTCTAAGGTCGCTGGGGCCCAGGTGAGAAATGACAGGTACAGGGTTGCAAATGATTAGATGTAAAAATGATAGATTGGAGAGAGGTTAAGGAGGTGGAAATGAGAGGGTTTCATGACAGGATATGGAAGGACTGGAAGAAGCTTGGGAACCAGGTGGCTTTGGTAAAGGAAGGAAAATTATTTTGGTATGCAAATGTGGAGGAGTTTGAGATGCTTGCTTCTGGGTCAGCCAAGTGGAGAGGGCTGGGAGGTAGTTGGTACGTCATCATTGGGAGCTTAGGAAAGAGGTGTGGGCTGGGGACTATAAGTAAGGGAGACATGGAGGTGTGGATGGTAATGAAAGCCCCTTCTAGTCATTCATTTTATTGGACACACCTTTATTACTCCTACCATGATGAGTAGGTATGGGTTTATGAAGATGAATGAAGCCTGGCTGGGTCCTTCTGAAGGCCAGAAGAAGGCTGAGTTCAGGCAGTGACACTGTAGGTGCTGTGCGCATATAACCTAGCCAGAGAAGAGTTTCTAGAAGAGGCAGGACTCAGGGAAAGGGAATACTGGCACATTCCTGGCTACAAGTGGGCCTTTGGAGAATGACAGGTTGTGCATTATTAGAGGAGGGGTGGAGTGTTGAGGGGTTGGCAAGAGAGGTCAGCGGGGAAGATATATGGGGCTGGCTGTGGAGCAAGGGTGTGCACAAAGGTGTAAAGGGAAGAGAGTGAGACCAAGGACAGAGCCTAGGGATACCGAGTGTCAGGAATGGCAGGGAGGGTGGTCAACAGCACCAGCTGCTGCCTTTAGTCAAGGGAGGTGTTTGCCAGGTGTCACCAGGGACCTTGGCGGTTGCTGCTTCATTTTAGAACTGATTGCAATGGGCTAGGAAGCAAGCGGGAGGTGGGAAAATGTGCTCAGAAAGTGTCGGCATCTCTTTCGGGAATCTTGGTGGTGATGGGGAATAGAGGGAAGTGACTGTCAGAAGGGGACTGATGCTGAGAGAAGGGGAGGTGTGTGTGAGTGGTGTGTTGTGTTTTTTAAATGTAAGATGAACATACCCTGGGGGGGGTGGGGGGGGCGGCGGTAGAGGGCGGCCAACCAAAGGGAGAGGTCAAATATACAAGAGAGTGAGGTACAGGGAATGGATTTGGGAGCCCAGAATACCTCACCCTCCCACCCTGTTGGGAGTTTGGAAAGAGGAAGGGCAGTGTGAATACATTTATGGGGACAGTGGAGGGGGTTATTGGCCCACAAGGTTCTGTATTGCTCAGTGGGAGGGAGGCAAGTGTGGGGTCAGGAATGGGAGAATGATGTTTTGGGATGGCTGATGGGAGCAATGACCAGAGCACAGAGAGGATACTCTGTAGCTCTGAGGCCCCCCTGAGACTGGAGAGCAGGACTCTGTAGTGACCGTTTAGTGGGTTGTGCTTTTCTCCAGTGTCACTCAGGTTCCTGAGTATAAGAAAAGAGGCAGCACTTGGTTGTAGATAGCCAGAGTAGGGTTTCAGTGGGTGGGTGTGACACAGAATTGAAGGAAAGACGGGTTGAGGCCACCAGCCAGAGAGTGAAGTGATAGAGCCTTGGGTTTAGAACAGGAGGGCAGTTAGTGCTTGAGGTCTCAGGGAAGTGAAAAGCCAGGGGTTTCTGCACCTGTGCCCCCAGCTCCCTCACCATGGTGCAAAGTACGTCTATCCTTTTAGAAGCACTCTGTGTTCTCCACATACGTCCAGATATTACAAAAGTCTGAATGTTAAAATGCATTGTGTCACTCACAGGTCTGCACTCCTGTCCTGCCTCACCTCCCCTTAAGGGAGAAGAGTAAATGCATGCTCAGAGGTCATAAATTCCTTAGCAAACAAGACAAGAATGCTCACAGAGCCTTTAATTGGTGTGTTGTTTTTCTAGCTGATGTAAATGTTTGCTGTAGAAATATCTGCCTCAGCTGGAGACACCTTCCCATCTTAAAATGCAGTGGACATAGCATCTTGTCCTGGAGGCTGGTGAACTTACCTGCTGTGTGGGAAGCCAGAGGAAGGAGGACCAGATGTGACAGAAGAAAGTGTCCTTTATTCATTCAACAAACAGTGGAAGACTTACTGTGTGCTGGATGCTAGGAATGCAGAGATAAATGGGACCCAGCCCTCTGGGAAGATAGGGGCATGAGCAGACAAGCTCATGCAGTGGTAGGCATAGAGGTCCTGGACAGCTTCTCAAAGGAGTTAGTGGTCTGGCTAGGTCTCGTGGGTCGAGTCAGAGAGCAGGTGCAAAGACACAGAGGCAAGAAGCAATCTGGCAAGGAATACACGAGGACCAGGACACAGAGGTATCCTTGGGCCTGAGAACTTTTGTGTAGATGCATGTGACTCTGTCCACCCAACCTCTCTTTTACTGGGATTTACTGGGGTTTAACTATACTTCTGTTCTCAGCCAAAAGGAAAAACTTAGAAAAAGCCAAGAAAAATAGTATTGTGAAGAAAGCATCAGGAAATCAAGATGTGGTTTTCTAAGTAAGCAATGACTGACTGGCTTCCAGTCATTGCCTTTATAGTTATGTGTGAACTGGTGTGTTCAGGGACTGCTGTGGTGGCTGGCACTTCTAGTCTCAGAGTTGGAAGGACTTCAGAGGGCAAGAGAGAAATGGAAGGCCCAAGAGGAAGCAGAACACAGGCTGTGAGACAGGCAACCTGTGTGCCACACCCAGTTCTGCCACAGACTGGCTGGTGACCCTGAGGAAGTGACCAGACTGAGCCTGTGTCCTCAGCTATCAGGTAAAGATGATGAGCAGACAGGCCCCAATGCCTGATTGTCAGGGTGCAGTGATATGGTGCCCGGCAGACTGAAAGTGCTGACAGATAAAAAAAAGAAAGAAAGCTAGCCTTAAACATTTTACCTTAATTTAAAACAGCATCCCTGGCTGGTGTGGCTCGGTGGATTGAGCATGGGCCTGGGAACCAAAGGGTAGCAGTTTGATTCCCAGTTTAGGGCACATGCCTGGGTTGCAGGCCAGGCCCCCAGCAAGCGGGGCATGAGAGGCAACCACACATTGATGTTTCTCTCCCTTTCTTTCTCCTTCTCTTCCCCTCTCTTAAAAAAAATAAATAAAACCTTTAAAAAAACTATAAGAAAAACAGCAATAAGTCTGCCAGTCAGATTGCAACTTTTTAATACTCATTAATAATGCATTACCTGCAGTTCCTAGGTTGTTTTTTTTTTAAGTGTTTGTATTTCTTTTTTTTAAGATTTTATTTACTTATTTTTAGAAAGGTAAGGGAGGGAGAGAGAGCGAGAAGAACATCAATGTGCGGTTGCTAGGGGCCATGGCCTGCAACCCAGGCATGTGCCCTGACTGGGAATCGAACCTGTGATACTTTGGTTCGCAGCCCGCGCTCAATCCACTGAGCTACACCAGCCAGGGCCCTAGTTTTGTTTTTAAAGAAGAGTAAACCCTGGCTGGTGTGGCATAGTGAAGTAAGCACTGGCTTATGAACTAAAAGGTCACCAGTTCAATTCCTGGTCAAGGCTCATGCCTGGGCTGTGGGCCAGGTTCCCAGTTGGGGCATGTGAGAGGCAACAGAGCAATATTTCTCTCCTAGTCCTTCTACCTCCCTTCCCCTCTCTCTGAATATAGATCTTTTTTTTTTAAGTGGAAACTTACAGGTCATGACAAAATTATCTTTACACAGTGTCCTTCTAGATTTTTATGATCTTTGCACCAATCTAAAATGGTCTCCTCCACCCATTTTAATAGTTTTTTTTTAATTAGACTTACTAGTTTTATTCATTTAATTTAGCTGTATTAGACAGCTGTCACTTTTTTACCATTTCACTGGCTAACATCCTTAATTGAATTATATTATCATAGTCATGTGTACAGTATGGGACAAACATTTACTCTTTTTTTGCGCATGTAAAAAATCCTTTGCCCTGCCTGGATGGCTTGGTTGGAGCATTTTCCCCTACACCAAAAGTCGTGGCTTCAATTCCTGGTCTGGGCACATACCTAGGTTGCAAGTTTGATCCCTGGTCGGGGGGCATTTGGGAGGCAAATGATTGATGTTTCTCTCTCACATCAATGTTTCTTTCTTGCTCTCCCATCCTCTCTCTCTAAAATCAATAAATACATCCTCAGGAGAGGATTTTAAAAAAAAACTTTTAATATAATTAACTCTTGACGGGCTGCCTCATCTAGTGAGAGCAAAGTCGTGCAGGTACACTAGACGAAGGTGGACTACAGGCTGTGGACATCTCCCAAAATGTTTAGAAGAGGATGCAGCAGGTTGGTGACAGGAAGAGCCATCTAAGAAAGCATGTATACTATTTATAAATAGAATTATTTATAAATATAATGCTCATTTCAAAGCAGCAAATTGATGTCATAAAATGACTATGTGCTTCAGAATCAGGCATATTTCCTTGTTCTGGAAACTTGGGTGGATTTGATGTGTGCCTTTGGGTGTGTTTTCTCAGTTATAAAATAGGGATGCTGTCCCTGCCTCTCAGGGCAGGTGTGTGCATGAAATAACCAAGCATTACCCATGGGAGACATACAACACTGGTTCTCTTCCTACCATTGAGCTAATTCAGATCAGCCACTCTGGGGAAAGTTTGGTGCTGACCTTGTTTTCCTATACTTTCAGAAGTCAGGATTCTAGCTCCTCTGTTGCCACCTCCAGTGCCAGTCACCAGCTGGTGATGCTGGAAGGGAAGTCAGGACCCTACTTTTCCTCTCTGGACTCGAGCATCGAGATCCTGAAGAAGAGGGCCCAGGAGCTGATCGAAAATATTAACGAGAGCAGGCAGAAGGACCATGCACTCATGACCAACTTCAGGGACAGCCTCAAGATCAAGGTGACATTTCTGCATACACATTGGAAAGCCTCAGTGGTTGGGTGGGGAAAGGCCTTACGTTAAAGGTGAAGGGCATAGGCAATGAACCACTGTTGAGCATCCGTTATGTTCCTAGCATGGCAATTTGCATATAGTACCTCATTTCACCTTTCCAACAGTACTGCAAAGAATGGACCCATTTTACAGATGGGAAAAGTAAGGTTTGGAAATAATTTGCCCTGGCCAGTTAGCCCAAATTGTTAGAGCATCATCCCAATAGCCAAGGTTGTGGGTTCAGTCTCCAGTCAGGGCAACAAAAGAAGCACCAATGACTACATAAATAAGTGGGAGGAAAATCAATGTTTCTCTCTCTACCTAAAAATCAATTAAAAACTAATAATTTGACAGCCCTGGCTAGTGTGGCTCAGTTGATTGAGTGCCCGCCTGCAAACCAAAGGGTTGCCAATTCGATTCCCAGTCTAGGGCATATGCTTGGGTTGTGGGCCAGGTCCCCAGTAGGGGGCACACAAGAGGCAACTACACAGGAATGTTTCTCTCCCTCTCTTTCTCCCTCCCTTCCCCTCTCTAAAAATAAATAAATAAAATCTTAAAAAAATAATTTGCCTGAATGAGAGAGCCAGAATGAGGGACCAAGGCCCATCTGTACCCACAGCCCAGCCTCCTAATTACACACCAGGACTAATGGCTATGGGAGTAGGGGGTTGAAGCATAGTCCACATTAACACAGCCATTTGTCCTCCAGAAGTTGAATGGTTTATGCTGGGAGATTAGGGGTCCCTTGACATGACTGGGGCTTATGTCTAACAAAGCCTGATGTTATGTTTGTGTCTGGTATTAATGATTGTCCCTGATGCTTCTTCAGAATGCACAAGGGATCCCATGAGTGGGACGTCTCTTGAAAACAGGCTGACTTCCCCCCCTCCCTTTTTCCCTCCCTCCCATCCCTACCAGTACACACAGCATAGAAAATCAAGTAAAGTATAACACAGCAGAAAAAAATGTAAAAAACATTCCTATGATCCCACCACCCAGAGGCTACTTTGTTGCATGTTTTCTTCTAGTCTCTGTTATGCACTTACTTCCTAACCTGGTGGAGCATATAATGTATACATAATTTTTCGATCTTGGCTTAAAAAAATTTTTTTAGTGTAGGCAATTTCACTCCCAGTCATTGGAGTTGTTTTTACCATTTTTGTATGATAAACTGCAGAAATCTTAGGGAGCCACTTAAAACATGTCTTGTGATGCCTCTAGTTTGATTTTCCAAGAATATGTTTTATTGTTTAAAAGGTTTCGGACCTGACAGAGAAACTAGAGGAGAGGATGTATCAGCTTTATAATCACCACAACAAGATTATTCAGGAAAAGCTCCAAGAGTTCACTCAGAAAATGGCAAAGATCAGCCATTTGGAAACAGAGCTCAAACAAGTGTGCCACACTGTGGAGACTGTGTATAAAGACCTATGTGTCCAGCCAGAGGTATGACTGAACCCACACAGGGGGCACTGTGTGAGGAGAGTTGTGGGAGCTAAGATGAAAGTAAATGTCAACAGAAACCAAGGGTGTTAGTGCCCCGCAGGGGCCACTATCACCACAAAGCCCCGGGTGCTCCCGCCATCTCGCTTGTGGCTCTATGCTCCCCTGTAACACGGTATATTGGAGCTGAGAATCCAGCCCATTGTTATTTTCTGTGTGGCCAGCTCTGTGGTGACATAAAGGACAAAGTCCCCTCTGCCCACAGCCCTAGGCAATGCCTAACCAGGTTTACTTATTACAGCAGAGTCAAAGACACAGACATGGGCTAGATCACTGCAGGGAGAGGGAGGAATCTTCACCACATCTGAGCACCTCATAGTCCCTACATGTGTTGTTTTCCCTGTGACTGAAAGGACTACCCAAGTGGTCATAAGTAAATGTGGCACAACACTGAAGGTCAGACATGCAGACTCTTTATTTAATCCTCTTTCCCCGCTTCATTCTGCCGCCAAGTCCAGCATAAGGCACTTATCCCCCAGATGGGAGGGTCAGAGGGCACACAGGGAACTCAAGCTGGGGTGGTTCGGTCAGACACCAGGTCAGGTCTCACAGAGGTTGCTTCTGTGTTACTCTCTTTCCTCTCCGTGCTCCCCATGAAGAGAAGCTTCGGTTCCAAGGTAAGTGGAGTCTGTTCCCATTCATGGTTAAAAGTAGATTGAGGAACTGGTACAGAGTCCCATCTTCTTTTTAAGGAGTACATTTTAGCCCTGGCTGGCGTAGCTCAATGGATTGAGTGTGGGCCGCAAACCAAAGGAGTACATTTTAGTGACTTCAAAAGAGAAATTTTGAAATTTAAAAATCAGTGTCTCACCTCCCACCATAAAATTTGGCTTCATCTGCCACCTCCCTGAGTAAGCTCAGAGCAGCGCAGCTCCCTGGGAAGGGGTTTAGCACCATCCAGCCCCCCGGGGGAAGTGTGTTCACTTGCTGGCCGTGAATGCCTGGATCCCTGTAATTGCCCTTCCGAGGATCAGAGCGTGAATGTCATGAGTACCTGGACAAGAGAAATGCAAAGTCAGTTTGGAGTCTTAACAGCTCACAACTTCCCTTTAAAGTTTATCTTCATGTCTCTCCTCAGGCTACTACTTTGGAAGAACATACCCATAAAGATGGTGAATGCTGACAGCTTTCTGAGACAGTCACCTCTTAGTGACAGCCACCAAGAGAAGGCTCAGAGGCCACTGTTCTGGCCACACTGAGAAAATTGTTTTTCACAGTTCTGTATTGCATCTTAGCAAAAACAAACAAACTTGGGCCATACCCAAAGGCAGCAAGTCCAGCCACCATCATGGGTCCAGCTTTGGTGTCCCCAACATGTGGCAAATTTATCCCACCCCAGTGCTGCACAGTTCATTAAATGTTTGATTTTCAACCGAGCCAAGCTTCCTTCCCACAGTGGTGGAGAGCTCTGATGGGCTCTGGAAACACATCAGGCCCTTTCTCATCGACAGGAGGGATGGGTAGGCAAACACCTCTTACTGGCTTGTACACCTGAGCCACCCTGTCCTGAAGCTGTCACCCACACCCCACGCCTTTGAGTCTGGGCAACACTTTATGTTCCTCAGTGCTCTCACTTGCTCTTCCCCAGCTTCCAGGGGCATAAGGCAGAGATTACTGCCTCCCTTATATAGAGCAAAATAATTATTTACTTACTTTTTAAAAAAGATTTTATTTATTTATTTTTAGAGAAAGGGGAAGTGAAGGAGAGGAGGGAAACGTCAATGTGTGGTTGCCTCTCACACGCCCCCTACTAGGGACCTCACCTGCAACCCAGGCATGTGCTCTGACTGGGACTGGAACTAGCAACCCTTTGGTTCACAGGCCGGCACTCAGTCCACTGAGCCACACCAGCCAGGGCTGTTGACTTTCTAAAGTGCATACCTGACCCCTTCCTTCTCCATAAAACCATCTGAAGGCCCCCTCCTCTTACCCTTGAGGTCATTCCCACACCTGTAGGATTCCTCCTACCTCTCCCCTCTTGTAGCTTCTGGAATGTCCCATCCAGAACAGCACACAGCAGCTATTTCACCGTCTGCCTAGGGAACTCCTAGAACTCCAAAGGACTCAGTCCCACTTTTTCCACATCTATTTTCCCACAAGGCCATGGATTCTGGGCCCCATTTGCATCACAGCCAGTTGCCAGCTGCAAACACCGCAGTCTGCAAATGATTTTTTTCTTTTTTTTTCTCCACATGGGGTGGCCTGTATGGCATCGCCAGCTCACTGGGCATCATGCCCCACTCTGGGGCTTGCTGATGAAGCCAGCAGCAGCCTTGGGAACATCCCTCTCCCTAGCATCATGAAGGAAAGGCCACAGAGCACCTCACTGTAGGCCCCAGTGTGAGCTACTCCAGATGAGGGATGCAGGGTGGGACCTGCCTCTGGCTGTGCTGTCAGTGGCAACAGCTGGGAGTAGGACTCAAGTCTGCTGTCCCCACCCTCCTCCCTGCCCTACTTCTCCAGACAGCGAGGCCACTGTAACCACCATCCCCATCCCCTGAAGGACCCAGCCCCCACCTTCATAGGTGTTCACGGACTCCAGGTTCATAGCATGTCGGATCACATGATACTCATCAGAAATCCCATTTCCCCCCAGCATGTCTCGGGCCTGGCGGGCGATGTCCAGAGCCTTCCCACAGTTATTCCTCTTCAGCAGGGAGACCATTTCTGGGGTGACCCTGAAGCAGCACAGATGTGTATCAAGTGTTGATTACAAAGAACTGACCCTGCTCCAGGCACCCCTGCACCCTAGGCAAACCAGCCAGGGGGAAGATTTCCCATGTTACAGCCAAAGCAGCAGATACCCAGGTTCAAAATGAGGGACTAGCAGGATGGGTCCTGGCCCACTGAGGCCAAGAGAAAGAAAAGGGACTGGGACCCCAAGGGCCACAAGGCAGAAAGGACCTTTCTTCTCAGGGCCAGCAACCATTATGCCCAGAAGCACAGGGTCCTTCTGCTACAGCTGTTCTCCTCTGCCTCCCCCTACAAGTGGCCCCTACTTGTCTTGATCCTTTAAGCGTCCAAGTTGCAGGCAGGCATGAAGGCCCAGCGTGATCTCAGTCAGCATGTCCGCCAGCTTCTTCTGGATCAGCTGGTTCCTGGCCAATGGGACACCAAACTGCATCCTAGGCAGGTACAGTGAGGATAAGTTAAAGTATGTGTGTGAGGGGGCCCAACCCCCAGTCCTCTCCCAGGGCTCCATGGGCCCAGGAAGCCTTTCCAGGCTGCCTCAACCCCTGCATAGCACACCCTGGCCTGTCATTGATCCAGCCCATTACTGCTCAGAAGGACTTCCCTGGCCATTTCACAGAGCAGGGAGCTTAAGTCTGGTGGGTGGGATCTTGGGAGTCACCTATTGGTTAAAGGGTGGAACCTGAGCCCTACCGTGCCCCCAGGGGCTCTCAAGGCAGCCTCCACTCACCTGTCTAGAGTGTACTGCCGGGCCATGTGAAAACAGAACTCAGCAGCTCCAAGAGCACCCCAGCAGATGCCATACCGGGCATTGTTTAGGCAGCCAAAGGGACCCTGTAGGATTGAGAGGAGGGCCTTAGCCCCATCCAGAAGGAGCTGAGAGGGTCTGTGCAGAACCAGCTCTGCAGTAGGGGGACACCTCCTCCTCAGACACCCAGATGCAGAGTCAGTATAAAAGGGGGAACTCAGGGAGGCCACTGAAATGGCCTCACACATGGACCTGGCACCAAAACTCATGCAAGGCAGGCTCAGTGCCTGCTCACTCTTGGTTTGCATACAGTTCCTCCCGGCCGGGGATCTGGATTGGCAGACAGATCTAGGGGCTGACATAAGGCAGGAAGAGGTATGGGCACCAAACGATTAAGGTGGTTCAGTCCCATGAGTCCTGGGCAGAGCCAGTATGAGTGATAGTCACCAGAAAGGGACAGTGCACAGGGACCTTGTCTGTCTTGTCCCAGCTGGGTCCCCAGCACACAGCCTGCCCAAGAAAGGTGAAGCAGCATATGACCCAGCACCAGTTCCCAAAGTGGCTTCTGCTCACCGCCAGCCCAGAGGCATTGGGCAGCACGTTCTCCTCTGGTACCTCCACACCATCCATGATAATCATGCCAGTGGCTGAGGCCCGCAGGGAGAACTTGCCCTCAATCTTGGGGGCTGAGAGGCCCCGCATCCCCTTCTCCAGCAGGAAACCCCGAATGCAGTTATCTTCACACCGAGCCCACACTACAAATAGGTCGGCCACAGGCGAGTTGGTGATCCTGGGGGTGGGACAGGCAGTGAGGGTCTAGCTACAGCCCTCTACCCCTGCCCACCCATCTGAGGTAACCAGGCTCCTCACCAAGTTTTGGCCCCATTGAGAGTGTAGCTCCTGCTGGATGGGTTATGGCGGGCTCTGGTCTCCATGCTGCCAGGGTCACTCCCATGGTTGGGCTCTGTGAGCCCGAAGCAGCCCAGGAGCTCCCCTTTGGCTGCAAGCATGAGACAGAGTCATGAGTCTACCTGTCACTCATTTATACCCTCAAATGAAAATGTCACTTCTCCACTGAGCCAGGCCAAGGCAGATCTGGCCCTGCCCTCACAGCACTTGCAGGTGGTGAAGGGACAATGCCTCCTCCCCATAGTCACAATGCCATGATGGGGAAGGAGACCCACAGGAGTCACCTAAACTGCCTTGAAGGACAGTAAAAGCTAAACAAGAGGGAGTTGTAGGGAAGAGCAGTCCTGGCAGTGGGAAAGGATGTACAAAGGCCTAGTGGTACGTCTAGAGAATTCCAAGTAGCTGAGTCTGACTAGAGCAGAGCAGTCAAGAGAGTGACCATAGATGAGGTTGAAAGGTCACCAGAGGCTTCTCGGACCCAACCAGGAAGTTAAGGCTTTAAACTCTGGGTTGGGATGGAGGAGACGAAAGCAAATCAAGAGGGAGATGGGGAGGTGATGGTGTTGAGAAAGAGCCAGAGACGCCCTGGCTGGTGTGGCTCAGTGGACTGAGTGCCGGCCTATGAACCAAAGGGTCACTAGTTCCATTCCCAGTCAGGGCACATGCTTCGGTTGGCTAGGTCCCCAGTACAGGGCACGTAAGATACAACCACACATTGATGTTTCTCTCCCTCTCTTTCTCCCTCCCTTCCTCTCTCTCTCTAAAAATAAATAAATAAAATCTTAAAAAAAGAAAGAAAGGGCCAGAGAGAGTTGAGAGTGAGCTTGGAGGGGATGAAGACCAGACTCTGACAGGGGGTCCAGGTAGCCATTGGTGCTATCCTTGAAGTGAGGGACAGAAGGGAGGCTCAGGGGACAGCCCCATTCCTGAGTTCCACACCACTGTGACTATCTTCCACCAGGCTTCACTGGTAGTTGCTCACCCAGCCGGGGCAGGTACTTCTGCTTCTGCTCCTCGCTGCCATATGCATAGATGGGGTGCATGACAAGAGAAGACTGGACACTCATCGCTGACCTGTAGCCACTGTCCACCCGCTCCAGCTCCCGGGCCAGGAGCCCATAAGCCACAGATGAGACTCCAGCACAGCCATACCCTGGTGGAGGAGTGGGGGTGGGGAGCTAGAGCAAAGGAGGACAAAACCTGCCCAGCAGACCAGTGACTCCTGAGGCCCAAGAGACAGAGATACACAGGGGCTGCCCAAGGAGGGGGCACCAAGCTAACCCTAGCTTAAGGGTTTATTCATTTCATTCCTATAATTGGACAGGGGGATAACAGTCTCACTTTACAGACTGGAAACCCAGGCTCAGAGAGATGAAGCACACAGCTGGGGCTGCAGAGAGTGGATATAAACGTGTCCCTACCTTTGATAGTGGGGCCCAGAACACCAAGCTCCCCCATCTCCGAGATGATCTCCCGGTGAAAAACTGCAAAGACAGATGCCCAAGTTCAGGCCCAGTCCTAGCCCACTGGAGCCCCCACCCCAGGGACAGAGAGGTCCAGAGGCCTGACTAAAGCAGCCAGAGGTGGTGTGTATGGTGGAGGGTACCCACTAGCCCGCCTGGGCACCTTCGTTGCGATTGGCCAGCAGGATGCGGGGCATGAGGCGCTCCTGGCAGTAGGTGCGAAAAGTGTCCCTGATGAGGATCTCATCAGCGGTCAGCTGCTCCTCCAGTACCAGCGGATCCCTCCAGTCAAACTCGGGACGCAAGGCTGGGACAAGGAGCAGGGGCTCAACTCAGCGCGGCCCACACCTCCCTCAGCCCACCGCGCCCTCCTCTCCCAGAATCCTCCACCCACATCTGGCTCGAGGCTGATGTGGCTGCAAACAGGACTGGCAAGGAGGCCTTTCTCCCGGAAAGTTACTGCTGACTTAGCGCCTCCGGCCCTGTTCCCTCCCCCGGCATCCCTCGGACTATGAGAGAGAGCCCACCCGGGGCCGGCAGACAGTAGGCCAAGGGCCTCAGACGCACGCGTGACGAGGGGTCCTTACATTTGGCGGGTCGGTTCTGTGTCTTCCCGCCCTTCTCTGCAAACACAGGAAGAGAAAATCACCAAGGAAAAGTCCCCGAGGCTCCACTTCCACCCTCCTCACCCTACCCCCGCCCCAGCACTGACCAGTCACCGCCGCTGCGGAGCCCCAAGTGCGCAGGAAGAGCAGGGGAAGTCCGCGACTTAGCAGCCGCGAGGAGACGCCTCTCAGGGCCATGTGGGCGGGCGAACACAGCAACCGAGGCCGACCTGGAGGAGCTGGGGCCTCAGAGTGGAGCGGCTCCTACCCGCATGCAGCCCAAGCCCTTCGCTCCCCTCACACCGGTTCCCTCCAGGTGCCTTCCTGCTTCCCTTGCAAGCCACCGTGCGACGCGACACACAGGCTTTTGACCTCTGGCCGGGGTGGGAGGGGCGGGGGCCAAACAAGGCCTCTCATTGGTTCATCCTAAACCCGGCTCCTTCGCGGGTTTGCATTTTAAAAGGGCGATGGCAGGCTTGCGGGAGGAAGCTGCAGGACCTGGGCGGAGAAATGTTAGCCCTTAAAGGAGCAGAACAGGGAAAATCGGGAGCGGGGCGGTGGAGGGGGGGCGGGGGGGGCGGGGGGGGCGGGGCGGGGGGGAGGAGGGAGAGAGGGAGAGAGGGAGGGAGGGAGGGAGGGAGGGAGGGAGGGAGGGAGGTCTGTATTCCTGCTCTGATTGGCCCTAGAAGGGGGCTCGGCCCACTTTTGGTTGGTCAGTTGCAGGAGGCGTGTGCGAAGGGATTCTGGAGTTAAATGAGAAAACTGAGGCAGGAGAAAAATAAGTCCAGACCTGGAAGTCTCCTCTAATGGAGTGCTGTGTGTTTGAGGAGAAGGAGGTGGGCTCTGGTGGGCCATGTCAATCCAACCTGTCTGCTAGCCTGGCTCAAGAAGCACGTGTAGCGGCATGTGACTGAGTGTGAATTGGTGATTCCTGGTCCTATGTGATTCTGTGCATCTATCTGTGCTATTGTGCCTGAGTGACTGTGTATCTGTATGTGAGTGGGACACTACGCCTGTGATGTTTGGAACTGTTGACTGTGGGTGGTTGTGTAACTGTCTCTGTGTCATGTCTATGCGGCCGAATGTTTCTGTAGTTTCTTGTCTGGGTAACTGTAAGCCTGTATAATGGTATTTTGTGTGATTGTGTGTTTGTGTGTTACTGTATGACTGCCTTGGTGGTTATCTCTCTAGGCGTGTCTATTATCATTGTGGTATGCCTAAATACATGTCATGTCTGTGATTGTGTATATATGTGTCAATGTCTTTTGCTCTGTGAGCAGTTTTAATTATGTACCTGACTTGACATGTGCTTGAGAGTGGCTTACTTAGCTGGGTCACTTTTAAGAACATTTGTGCCCCTGGATGGTGTGGCTCAGTTGGTTGGAACATTGTCCTGTAGACCAAAAGGTCTCAGGTTCGAATCCCTATCAGAGCACATACCCAGATTATGGGTTTGATCCCCAGTTGGGGCATGCATGAGAAGACAACCAATCAATGTTTCTCACATCTTTCTCTCTCTCTGCCCCACTTCCTCTCTCGACAAGCAATGAGAAAAATGTTCTCGGATGAGGGTAAAGAAAGAAAAACATTTGTGTAATTTGCATTTATCTGGGTGCAACATGCTTGACCATATCTGTATCTTGGGTCCTGCCTGTTGCCATTTGGAGAAAGTAAGGTGCAGAAAACAAAACCGATCTGGTTACAGTAGGCCAGGTGCAGAGTGGGGGCCCGGACTGGGGTCCAGGCCTCCCAGTCCCCAGGCCAAGCCCTTGCCCACCTAGGACTACTTCTTCCCACAGAGACACTCTGGGTAGTGTAGTGTGTTGCATGCTCTGCCTCTGAGTGTGATGGGAGTAACTGTGGGATTGTGTCTGAATGTTACACAGGCCTGCAAATCCCTGGGTGCCTGGGGTCTGGGTGTCCCTGGACTCTCCCATTTTCTGGGCCCTTAATGTCCTTAATATAAAAATAAAATTATTTGAATCTTCTTCCTCACACAGCAGGCAGTCCATCACCATCCTGAAACATTTGGGATTCTGCATAGCTCTTATTCTTTATCTCTCTCTTCCAGGAGCCAGGACCTCTCTCTTTCTACTTCTTTCTTTCCTCCAAAACTCCCTGCCCTGGAGCTGTTGTAAGTGCTAGATTTCTCTATGCCCAGGGAGCAACCCAAATATAGGCTCTGGCCTTGCTGTCCTTCAGTCGATAATTCCTACTGGCCACATCAGGTAAGAGGCCTTACCTCCTAGCCAAATGCCTCTTTCTCTCTGGACCTACTCTCTTGCCTCATCTTTCAGAGCCAAATATGCCTGTTTAGTGCTTTGTCCTAAACCAAAGAGATCTCACCCTAAAAGAGACTTTGCTTGCCTCACCAGAAAACCACTTTAATTCCAGCCATTTTTTAAAAGATTTTATTTATGTATTTTTAGTCAAAGGGGGAGGGAAAAAGAGAGAGGGAAACATCAATATGTGGTTGCCCCTTGTGCACCTCCTACCAGAGACTTGGCCTGCAACCCAGGCATGTGCCCTGACTGGGAAATGAACCAGCAACCCTTTGATTGACAAGCCGGTGCTCAATCCACTGAGCTACACCAGCCAAGGCCCATTTTGTTTTATTGAAGTAAAACTCACATAACATGAAATGAGCCATTTAAAGTGTACAGCTCAGTGGCATTGGGCACCATCAAAATGTTGTGCAAACACCACCTCCATCTAGTTCCAGAACATTTCCATCATTCTAAAAGGAGACCTTGTACCCATCAGCAGTCACTCCCCATTCCCCTCTCCCCCAGCCCCTGGTAATCACTAGTCTTTCTCTATATATAGATTTTCCTATACTAGGTATTTCATATAAATAGAATCATGTAATATGTAACTTTTGCCTTTTGTGACTGGCTTCTTTCACTTGTTTTGAAGGTTCATCCACATTGTAACATGAATTATAACTTCATCCCTTTTGTGGCTGAATAATATATCCTTTGTATGAATTGACCACATTTTATTTATCCACTCATCTGAGAATGGACATTTGGGTTGTTTCTACCTTTTGGCAATTGTGCGTAATGCTGTTGTAAACATTGGTGCACAAGTATTTGTTTGAGTCCCTGTTTTCAGATTTTGAGCATGTACCTAGGAGTGGGACTGCTGGGTCATATATTCTAAGTTTAACTTTTTGAAGGATCATCAAACTGTTTTCCACAGTAGCTACACCATTTTATATTCCAACCAGCAGTATACTAGGGTTCCAATTTCTCCACATCCTTGCCAACAATTGTCACATTCTATTTTCCCCCCTTATCATCATCCTAGTTGGTGTGAAGAGCTTTTATCTTTTTTTAATATAATCTTTGTTTTTTACATTCCTTTTTGCCCACACCCCTCATGTAGTAAATGATAATTTTGTGTTTTTTGCGATTCATTTCTGGCATACTAATTTTTATTGTGTCTGTGTCTGGGCAAGATTGTGTGTCTTTCCCTATCAGGGTGTTTAATTTTCCACGTTGGTGTGGTCTGTTTGTATGAGTGCACCCCCTATAGTTGGACATTGGTATCTGTGCAATTGGGTGACTAAATAATTACGGAACCTACGGTGACAGTGACAGGTGGAGGGACTACAAAATGGTGTAGATTTTATATGGCACTGTGCGTGATTGTGTCTGTGTTTGGTGTTAGCTATGTGCGTGACTACATCACCATGTGTTTGTGAGTGGTTGTGTGCAGCTGGGTTTTATTCCTTTGTGTCTGAAGCTGCATGTGATTGGCAGGATTATGTGACTACATCTTCTATAGTTTTGTGACAACATATCCAGGAATCCCCATGTATCTGTTTAGTTGTAGCTGAATCATGTCAGTGTGGCTATATGATTGTGTGTGACTGGGTAACTGTGTATGATTGTGTCAGCACCTGTGTGATTGTGGGTTCTATGTCTAAGGGATTGTGTGACTACAACATTGTGTAACCAAATAGGACATGGGTGTGTCTTCCTGACTGCATGGTTTATGTGATGCACAGACACAACTCTATGTGCAGGGGTGGCATGGTCAGTGTGACTGAGGTGACCAGGAACGTGTGTCACTGTGCAGTTGCATATTGTATATGTGTATGTGTGAACTATATGTCTGTGATGTGGGTCCATGTTGCCCCCACCCTGAGCTCTCAGGGCACCACAGTGGAGGTCCCTGGTGCAGCAACTTGGATCCCGCCCCCATGTGGGGCAGGAGTCAGGCAGCAGCAAGGCCCAGGGAGCACTAGTGTGGGTCTCCTGCAGGTCGGGTACTTCCTCTGGTCCTATCCAATGGTTCCACTCCATCCAGGTGAGGGGGCCAACTTCTCCCCAGACCCAGCTGCAGTGGCAACTGGCCTCAGCCTCCATAAAGCCCCACTCTCTGCAGTGACCCCTGGGGGGTCCATGGTAGACACTGGAGGCTGATTAGCAAGGGTCCTTCCTGCCACTTGGGTCAGTCCCTGAGAGTTCATAACCCTGGTAATTTCAAGCCAAGCTAAAGTGAAGCCCCAACTTCTAGCCCTGCCACTCACCAGAGACAGAGCTTTAGCTGCTCTGGGCCCCCACCTGATAGCAGCCTCTAACGTCTGGGGTGTCTGATAATGCTTGGCCTGGCAGGGAGCTTGTGCCAAGTCCCGCCATGAGCATGGTTGTTTCTGTTTTGGGGGGTGGGGTGGGGGGGTTGTTTCTGTTTTGGGGGGGTAAGGGCCCCAGTTGAGGGAGAGGGAGATCTAGAAGCCCCTTCTCAGAATCCCCATTCTGTCACCCCTTCTTCAGGTGGATAATTTAGAGAAGGCCCCCAAATCTCTCCTTCTATGGGAAGCCAGTGCTTCACTTTATCCAACACCTGAACCCCCAAACCACTGAACCCCCAGCCCCCAAACAATTGACTGAACTTTGGATACAGGGTCAGTCTTCAAGGCTCTGCCCCAAACAGGCCAAGGCAAGGTCTGTTCCCCAGAAATGGTGACCCCCCTCCCCCCCCTTGCCTGACCCTTATCAGGGGCTGCAGCCAATCAGCTGAGGACAAAGAGGAGCCCTCCACGGGGCCACTGGAGCCTCAGAACCCACGAGGCCACAGAGGGAGAGGAGGCCTGAGGCCCTTGGGTGGGCACCAGCCAGCCATGGCCACAGCTGACACCACCTTGCCGTCCATCAGTACGCTGACCGCCCTAGGCCCTTTTCCAGACACACCGGAAGACTTCCTCAAGGTGAGGCCAGGCAGGGTCTAGGTAGCTGGCTGGGGTCTGTGGCTGCAGTCACAGAGCTTAGGGTCCGCATCTGCCCAGGAATCCAAAGACCTGGCCAGACCTGGGGATCCTCAGCCTGGTCCAGGGGTCTGAACGTGGTCTAAAGGCCC